GCCCCTGCCGCCGGGTAGATGTCGCCCCCGGCCCCCTCCCAGCCTGCAAGGACCCGGTGACGGCTCAGCGGGGTCCCCAGCTGCCCCCGCGGGAGGGGACGGCGAGGGGACAGCGTCCCGGCACTACCTGCCATCCCCTTGTACTCGAAGTTGATGCCGCTGAGGACGGTGGTCTCCATGTTGGGGGGCAACACGTTCCACCACTTGTACTCCAACCCCAGCGCCGGCTCGGTGCCCGCTGGGCAGCTGAGGCAGCCTGGGGACAGGAGGGGACAACCCTGCACTGGGCTGGCACCCACCTCCCACCCCGGCAGCTCTGGTTGCTCCGGTCACCCCTTGGGGACAATGATGGGGACGTCCTTACTGGAGCCATAGGGACAGGAGGGGACAACCCTGCACCGGGGTGGCACCCACCTCCCACCCCGGCACCTCTGGGTGCCCCAGTCACCCCTTGGGGACGATGACGGTGACGTCCTTACCAGAGCCGTTGGAGTAGGAGCCGTAGGGACAGGGCTGGCAGGCGCTGCCATTGCTTTTGGCGAAGCCGGGGTTGCAGGGGGGGCACTTGGTTTTCACCCCGGACGGGGGCAGCTTGGCCGCCTGGGGAAGCTCCTCGCTGCAGATTTTCGGCTCTGCCCACTTGAACATCAGCTGGGTCTGCCCGGGCGGGAGCGGGGCGCTGAGCTGGGGACGGGGACACGGGGACAGCGGGTGCCAGCCCCCCGATATCCCCCCCCCGGGGCCGTACCTCCCCGCGGGCGTCGCAGGCGGTGTGGGTGTAGAAGTAATCCTTGTCAGTGCAGGGCGGCCGCGGTTTGCAGGATGCTGAGCCGGGCTCTGCCGGCCACAGGGAGACGGCGACTGAGCCAGCTCGGCGAGGGGACCTTACTGCCGTCCCCGCCGTGCCACCAGCGGGACGCCCATGTCCCCGCCAAGGGACGGCAGGTCCCCCCTGCCCCTCGCATCACCTCTCCCTTCCCCAGGGCCATCTCCGCAGGGGGACGAGGGGAGCGGGTGCCGCCCTTGGGTGAGGGGCCAAGGGGAGGGGGACCCGGCTGCCACCTCTCACCGGCGTAGGCGGTGGGCTCGCAGGGCTGGCAAGCGGTGGCCCCTTTGCTGGAGAAGGTGTCGGCGGGGCAGAGCTGGCAGGCGGAGGAGCCGGCGGCGGGGGCGAAGGTGCCGGGTTTGCAGGGGAAGCACTCGGAGGTATAAGCCACCCCTGGCAGCGGGAGGGGGCTCCGGCTGCGGGAGCCATGGG